GGGGGGTGCTTAATCACTCTCAGAAAAGGAGCTGGAAAATCTTATAAAAGGTATCCGTGATACATTAAAATAAGACAGTAAGCGTTTTCAAACAAGAGGCTGCATAGCATACCGATTAAAAGCCTAGGTGTTCAAAGAGTTCAACTCCTAGTTCCCGCACCAACTTGTGCAGGTGCGATGCTGGTGCCTCAATTTCTTCATATGTAGAACAGGGGAAATAACGCTGAGGTCACAGAAACTTATAGGAATTAAGTAAGCCACCATATATATAAAGCTTCAAACATCCAACGATACTGAGAATCTTGGGTGAGGTACAGAATTTCTCATGTCCCCACTTTTTTTTTTTTTACATCTATAAAGTTAAGCGTTGAAGTACAAATTCATCTGAGATCATGAGCTACTGTATACAAATATATAATTATATAATTTTTATACATATTCATGTAACTAAATACTTTTCCTCAAAATAATAGTGTCCTTACTATCGCCAATGCATTCTGAATTTTCTAGTCTACTCTCCTTTAAAAAAAAAAAAAAGAAAAAAAAATCTGGTTGCAATACACAAAACTAATTTTAAAAAACCAACAGCACTGGGAACCAAAATATCTCTGAGGAGGCGTCCAATACAAGGTACTCATTTTCAAATTAGCTTTCAAAAGCAGTGTCACCTAAACTTCCTCGAACCCTATCACAGGTCTCAGTGAGTTTTAGGGACATGGTATTCTAATGGGTATTTGAGTGCTTACAATGATCATAACTGAACCACGTACGCTTTTCAAATACTAATAAACTTTGCATTCGTTTTTCTTAATTGTAGTCCCTTTTGTGTCCAGAGTGACTCAGAAGACATCTTTTATCTTCAAACAACTGTAGAGTTCTCTTTTTAAAAAAATAAAGGGCTTACTTTCCAGTGACATTCTGAGTACTTACATGTCAGTGAAAGAATAGGATTTAGAAAATTATTTGGAACTTTTTAAGAGAAAGACAATTTGCAATCTCCAGAAAAATCTGACATTCAACAAATGCTGCCTCATTGCTTTGTTCTTTGCTGACGAAGCACATTAAAAATCAACATTTATTTAATTGTTCCGGGACTCTTTTCAAATCCAATCCATATTTTTAATCTAGTTTGGTAGGGATATTCCATAATATGAAAAAATCCTAAAATAAAGAGGAAAAAGATCTGTGACTTCACAAATTCCATTCCAAGCTCCATTCCGTAATCTATGACCTGGGGCTAGGTACTTCGGCTCTCTCCCTCGGTTTCTTCATTTGTAAAATGGGAAAAAGAGGACTACCTACTTCATGGGATGGTTTCATGGATTAATGTCTAATTGCTCTGAATGGTGCCCAGCAAGGAAGCATCCAAATAAACCAAGACCAAGGTTATTCTCTTGCGTTATGTGAAATTACGGTGAAAGCCTGGCATTTCCTCACACAGTTCTAAAAGTTTTCCTGAAAGCTACGAGCAGAGTGAGGGTTGGACTTTAGCCCCTACTTTATGTTCCAAAGTGCACGCCAGGGTTAACTGACAAAATGAAGAACAAGGAAAGAAACAAAAATGACAGATGACATAGAGATTTTTAAGTATCCATTCAGATGGCTTTTGATAATGGGGGGAAAACAGTACAATTCCACCAGCAGGAACAATTAATTAATTTATTGGTGTCCCTCATGAATCCCAAAAAGGATCGGAGGTGGAATCACTTACTGTTTTATGCTATAATAGCTCCGACAAATTATCAATGTAAAAATATCTAATTCCTTTGCTGTGTCCTAGCGAGGCAGACAAGTAGAATCTATCTCTGAATCTAGCTCATGAACAGAAATACTCCAAAAACACCGGTTGTATTCTACCAGACACAAGGCCTAGGAAGGTGGTCTGTGCAGAGTCCTTATCTACTAATTGAAATCATACATCATAAAAATATTCCAACACAGCATCTAATCTTTAAGGATAACAACTTGCTATTAGTGGTAAGTTATATTTTCATTATAAGTGTTCTGGTATCGACATGATGACATATCCTGAATCTCTAGCTAGGAAAATGTTCAACTTCTTGGTCGCAATTCAATAATCATCATCATTCACTTATGACGTCACAATGGAAATGGGAAATGCTATTGCTAAAAATCTAATTTTGTTTTCAGTAAAACTAAAGCTAAAAGATGGGTCAGATCATCCTGGCTGGCTCCCTACTCTATAAGATTATCTTCAGCCCATGTTTCTAAAGTCCATTGTAAGGGCAGTACAGAATCGCCACCTAGTACTATGTTTATTCACGGATGAATTTCCCAGATAAAGTAAATGCACACAGTGAACCCCAACCTAGGAAAATTCTCTCGTTAAGAGAAAAAAAAAACGATATCCGCGTTAAGTCCTTCCCCTACAACTGTTTTCATTTTTTGCTCATTTCAATTCAGCATACTTTTCAAATACATTTTAAGTTTTAAAACTTTATTTTGAGTGTTTCTCCCAAAGACCCATTTTACTAAAGATCTGTGTGTCTTTATTGAAATACACCTCTGAGGTTATTAGCATTGCGGGGTTCTGCTTAGATTGCAAAGACTGCTTGGGGTTCTGAATCAGACTTTTTTTTTTCCACTCTCTTCCGTGTCAAAACCGGGGGTACCCTGAAAACCCGAAAGACATGATAATATTCACCAAAAGCCGTGGGCCTCAAGTGAACGAGTTACAAAGAGAGTCTTGCCTTATCCTCTCTTCCTTTTGCTCTATAATCCTTGTCTCTACTGGTGGAGGGTTTTTCACTCTTCGATATAGGATGTGCTCGGCCCACAGGTCCCCGGGCTCCCGCTCCGGGCATTTCTTTCCTCAGAGGTCTTACTTCTCGATTGGGACGCCTTATCTGAGGTGGAGCTCTGACAGGAAAAAAATGAAAATGAAAATTAATCAAAGGCAAAAGTAGTTTGACGCTCTTGTAGTCAATAAAACTATTCAATCAAGAAGCCCTAAATCTCCATCGTTTCCCTTTTGCCAATTCATGGCTACAACTATTAGATCGGTTCTTAAAAGTACTTTTCTGGGGGGGGTGGGGGGAGCAATAGTGCTTTTCTATAAAATAGACTGGTTGATACAATTTTTAAGTACATATAAATGATATGTATAACAGCAGTTATTTTGTCAAAAATAACTATTAATCACCAATAGAGGGCAATACAGACTATTTCCATCTAACAATCCTAATAGTGTAATGGAAAGTCAATTACTTTATTCATTACTGTCTTAAACCCAAACTAAGTAACTTTTAAAAAAACAAAAGCATTTGAAACTAGTATCACATTGCATGTAAATTATACTTCAACTTTTACAAAAGCATTAAAAGCTGAAAGGACAGGAATTCAAAATATGACTATTCGCGCAGTTGACTTAATTTACTGATTTCAATCAAAATTGTTTCCTCTGCTTCTGTACTGGAAAATCCACCATTTCATTCATCAAATGATAAGCAGTAGGGCTAAACAATGCAATTTTTCATATACAAATTCACTTTTGTGTGAAAATGTTATTCTTGCATCGAAGGTGCCAAAAATCACAGGACCGTTCAAAGTACACAGGCCCCCAGATGTGAATGAAGAACTCAGAGCCCCATGTATGGCAAAGGATGTTAACTAGACACATGGCAGCCCATTTCACAACATATAAAAATACTAAATCGTCAGGTTCTACACCCGACGCTAATGTTGCATGTCGATTATACCTCAATGTCTTTTAAGTTTTGACAACTGTATAAAGGTAAGCATGTGCACCAAGTGACGCATTTTGTTCCCTGTAATGCAAAACACTTCCTCTTCAAATAGCGAAACTCTAAGGTTTCTTAGCACAGTATTTAGCATCTCTCTTTGGGTGCTACGGAGACTCTATCCATTCTGTGCCTAATCTCTTGGTTCTTCTTCCTTGGACTGTCTCTGCTTCTGTTTTCCTATCTTTTCTCTCTCTACTGCTCTGCCTTCACTGGTAGCCCTTGAGATCCCATATGTGTATTCCTTTTTTTTACCCATATGCCATACCTATTATTATCCCTTTTCCAACTTCATGCTTTCAATTCATCCAACTCATCATGGAGTCTCTCTCCCTGATATCAGAAGTGATACATGTATATAACTCAGAACCCAGCAACACGGAAAAACAGATGAAAAGCCAGGAAGGATGCCAACTTAAGGCAACAGAGGTAAAAAAAACAAAAAACAAAAAACAAAAAACTGTTGACATATGGCAGGTCTAATACAGCATCTTCAGACTGTTGGAATGAGACCGCCGCATGAAACTGCTGGGATAAGAGAAGCGAGGGCTCTTCGGTTATTACACACTGACATCTGAATCCTTGGAGCTGACTCAGCTCAATAATTATTTATTGACCACCTATTAGGAGGTATATAGCCACTAGTGTGCTAGGCCCCAGGAGGAGACAAAGATGAATGGGCAATCTTGTGAAAGACATCACGGAAAAGGAACTGGTTACAAGGCATTTTCAAACACAAAGATATTACTGCATTATCAGTTTAGGGCAAGCTTAGTCTTTTAAGCATCTGCCAACAAAGCAACACTGTGATGAGACGGATTTAAGACAACCAAAAACGTTACGCGCTCTGTTCCCGGCATTTCACTGCAACAACTATCTTTTGACCGAGCGTTTGCTCCGTTTTGCTGAAGGAGCGGAAAGCAGCAGGGCAGCCCTTTACTTTGGGGTGCGCGCATTTGCGGGTGCGTAAACACCTTCCCTGAATCGGACTCGTGGGGAAGGCCCAAGACCACACAAGGAGAGCCGCGCTCTCTTCCACGCACAACGTACGTCAAGTCCGCCCTTCTGGTGGCAGCTGCGCCTGCTATGCAAACAGTCCGTCGTTGTCTGTGGGCCTGCTTTTTAGAGGCACAGGCAGCCTGAAGCTTTTGCTCCCCAGCAGCAAGCCCGTCCCCTACCGCTGCGCGCCAGGCTGCTCGTCAGTTGCTGGGCTTGCCCGCGAGGCCTCAGCGCCCAGGGCTGAGCCGTAGTGAGTCCCGAAACGTTTCTTCTGCCTTCGCGGCTGGCACATTCCCCGCCTCGGCTTGCTCTCCAGCGGTGGCTTAGGGGTCCCGCTTCAGTCCAGTTGGCACACGCGTCCAGCCCAGGCAGGCTGTGCCGTGAGAAGAATGATGTCCAAGCTCTCGCACAGGCTTGCGTCCCAAGTGTTCGCTGCCGCTGACCTTGTCCCGCCACTCACCATTCTGATGGGCTTATACGCGGTGTGAACGAAACTGCTCGAGAAGCCAGAGGTGCCCTTTGGGGCAAGACCCGCAACCTCACGGAAAGGGTGCCTGTGCTCCGAGAAAAAGTGTTCGGTTCCATCTCGCTGCGGTTGGATATTACATTTGTAACAGACCCTGGCAACTTCCCAAAGGACATCCTTGATTCTGTTCTGTACTTCCTCCATTAGCGCATCACTGCACAATGTCATGCTTCAATTTAAGGATTCAGTGACAGCTTCCAGGCTGAGGGAAAAAAAAAGAAGTCTCGGGGCTTCTTTTACTGGTCTCGTTTAAAAAGAGGCTTCAGTAGGGTTACACGGCACCACCAACCTCTGCCCCGATGGTCAAAGAGAAGACGACACGGTACTAGCTTACAGTATTCCCGAGATAGAGAATATCTGATCGATCTGCAGATACAAGACTAGAAGGTCTGCACTATACTCAGTTCTCCTAGATTCCCCTCTAGAAACGGAAAGAAATGCGCTTTCTGTCATATGCAAATAAGCCTAATTTGTTCCAAAATCCAGTGTTTCCTCTTTCTAAGCTATATTAAGTATCAATATTCTATGGAAATGTTCTTATCAGCACTAGTTGTAACAGCAAACACCTGAAAACAACCCAACTGTCCAATATCAGAACAAATGCATATATATTCACATAATGATATAATTCACAATATACACATGAATGTGAATTATAACCACATGGAACAACACCAGATGAATCTCAGGACAATTATGGTGAGTGAAAAGGTAGGTTCAAAAGACACATACAGACAGCAACATAGGATACTGTCTGGGGACATAAATATGTGTACTAAAAGTAAAGAAAGGCAAGGGAATGATAAATCCCAAGTCCAGGACAGTGTCTAACTCTGAACAGGGAGCGAGGGGAATGGAATGCAGAGGAGCTCATAGGGGATCTTCAAAAGCAATAGTTCAGTTCTTTATCGTAAACTCTTCGCGGGGTCCATGGAAGCTATTGTGTTGTGACGCCTTATACCGTCCGTAATTTGAATTATTTACATTATCTGCTCAGTAGTTAATGAAACTTTAAATCTGATTATACTACAACACTAAGTAAAAGATCCGGGCACCTAAAAAGGGAAATTATAGATTGCTACAAAGTTTTTGGCATGTTCCAGAAAGACGCACGTGCTAGGGGACGTGGGCTCAGAGTCCACATCCTCGGTTGAACCTACTAGACTACTGCCTGGCAAATCTCCATAAAACATCAGGCAACAGAAAGAGAACTGTCTGTATTATAGCACCACTCTTCCATGGTTCCAGAAGTCAAGGGAAGAAGCCCTCTTTCGAAGACACCCTTCATTCCACACCATATTAAGTAACAGGGTCTACAATACTAGCACAATTTTCTCCAATTGTGGAGAAAGGCTCCTTCTTAAGATTCCTACCCATTGACCTCTATTTCTTCTAGCATTTTGTTTCATCATCATTCTAATTTTTTTTTGTTCATACATTGTTAGAATTCTGGTATAAGAATAAGTAATTTAGAACAGGTCCTATATATGCCCAAGAACATAATCCAGATTGTTTAAATTTAACTTCTGGACAAGAAGGAAAAATAATCTTATTTTGCTATTAGATTAACTTACATAACTCCAGAATTAAATAAACAGAAAAACAACTCCTCCATATCTAATAAAAAGATAAGAAACATAAGTTCCAAGTAGTTCATACTGATATTTTGGCTATAAGAACTTGGGAGTCAACATATGAGACTTCTGAGTCCAGGAGAAATTATCTGTTAAGAAATCAGGAGGTAAAAAACAAAGCTTATAAATAGAAATGAGAGGACTTATGATTTGAAACTAAACATTAATGATTAAGAATTTTATGTCCACTCTCATCATATATATGACTGCTATCTTTTCAAATCAGTAAATATTTATTGTTTACCTAATAAGTACAGAACTATGCTGGGTATACTACGGCCATAAAAACATTGCAGGGCACCTGGGTGGTTCCGTCAGTTAAGCGTCTGACTCTTGATTTCAGCTCAGGTCATGATCTCACCCATTCGTGAGTTGGAGCCCTGCAAGCCTGCTTAGGATTCTCTTTCTCCCTCTCTCTCTGCCCCTCCCACACACACTCCCTCTCTCCCTCAAAATAAATAAATTAAAAAAAAAAACCATCATAAACACTATTCCTATCCTCACAGAGAAACAACACGGTGATCTGAAGTTAGCATGAGATTTAGAATCCTAGAGGCAGCTGGGTAGCTCAGTCAATTAAGTGTCCGACTCTTGGTTTTGGCTCAGGTCATGATCTAATAGTTCGCAAGATGGGCTCTATGCTGGCAGTGTGGAGCCTGCTTGGGATTCTCTCTCCCTCTCTCTGCCCCTCCCCACTCATGCTCTGTCTCTCTCACAAAAAAAAAAAAAAATGGTCTACCAATTACTGATTATATGAGTATATTACTTACTATCTATAATCGTCATGTTCTTCCTCTGTAAATGGAGATGTTAATACTTCATAGAATTTGTAAATCTATCTGTCACTAATATAACATGTTCAGTAAAATGTAAACACAGTACACAACTCAATAAATATTAATACCATATAACCACCAGTAGATGAAGATATAGAACATTTCCCAATATCTCAGAAAGCTT